CAAATAGAACGATCTCAGGCCTCATTGTCTGCTATTTCGAAGCTCCGATCAACCCTTCGAGAACGAAAATGGGCTCTTATCAATCTCTTGCACACCGATCTTACAAGCATTCGAGTCTAGTCGTGAAATTGAAGTTTCCTGAGGTTGTACAGCCGCGAGAACCAGGCTTCGGCCCGCGAAAAAAAGAAAAGAAAATGAACGCGCGTTCAACGCTAGCCACGTGTTATTATTTAGCCTTCAATTAATCCATATTCGCGTCAAATAAATTTATAAATTAACAAAAAAAAAAAAAACAAATATTTCAAATTATTTCAAATATTCAATAAAGACCCAAAATTAAAAAATTTATTTATTAAATTATATAAATAGTAAATTAAGTTTCAAATGTTTCTTTGTCGCTATTAAAATTTCAAAAAAAAAACAAATTTATAAATTTATAAATTTAATAAGCTTATTATGCTATTATTTTAACACCAACGTGAATCAATTAAAAATACAATTTTATTTTTTCTAATTAAAAAACATGCATTATTGCATTATTGTTTATTTATATTTGGTCAAAGTTTCCATGCTTATTAGGAAGAAATGATTAAATATTAAAAAAAAAAAAGTAAAAATGTTATAATAAAAATGAAGTAATGGCGGCATATTAACCGATACCATGTTAGGTATCACAGATCTTCACAATGGTATGATATTATCTACTTTTAGCATAAATTCTCATAGCTTTACTTTGGTTTTCCCCAAAAGGTCTCATACCAATAGAAATGTATTTGTTTCCTTATAAACTCATGATCTTCTACTAAATTAACCTATGTGGGACTCATTCATAATAATCTTTAACGAACTATTTAAACGGAAAACACATTTTTTGAAACAAAAAATTATTATTATTATTATTTAACTCGAATAATATTTATATTAATTTATATTAAAGTTTATGGGAAAAGATTCCTAAATAATATTTTTTAAAAAAATTAACTAAAATTAACAAGTTTTATTAAAAGGAAAACCAGCACAATAACGGTAAGAAAAATATTTAAATATACTCCCCGTACGGAACCAGCTGACATCATTCAATAATTTATGGTTTACAAATATTTATATTAATTAATCTTATTTTATGCTTACCAGCTCATCCCAATTTCTTAATTTCTCTTTTTTTTTTTATTTCTTTTTGGAAATTAATATATAGTTGACTAAAGAAAAAGGAAAAAGGTTAACCATAGAAAATTTGTAAATTCTAACTAAAAAATAAATCGTGAATTAATAATTAAAAAAAAAACGAAAAATATCTAAATATCTAAATTGATATAAAAATAAAAGGTTCGTATTAAAATAGAATTTAAAATTCATTATATAGTACGATGGTTTCGATAAATACTAGGTGGTGGCATATGTGCAGGCAGATCTAAAGGGATATGTGACATGCACAAAATTCGAAGTTAATATGAAAAATAAATTAATTAATTAAATTAAAATTAAATAAAAGTTGAATAGCTTTGAAGTTTGAGCTTTATTTTATTTAAATTACTGCAATAATAGATTCGTTTTGATACGATTTTCTTTTTATAATTAAATAAATTCCTAAAATTTCAAAAATAAAAATAATTTAACCCATCTTCCAAAAATACAATGGATACCGTTAATTGTAATAAAATTATTTGAATATTTAATTTGTAATTATTCTATAATTTTTAATTGTTAAATTTTCCTCCTTTTATTTATTTATTTATTTGTTTAATATAATAAATATTAAAAGCTCCAAAGTGGCAAATACTGTGTTTATTATAAAATTAAAATGTTAATTTAGGAGTGAGAGGGGGCAGAGGCTTTTGCTGGTGGTTATTGCATCAAAGTCAATGGAATATTTATTCCATTTTTTTTATATATATATAAATAAAGCAACCATTCAATTCCTCAATTATTTGCTTCTCACTTTTCTTTATTAATAATCTAAACAATATCGATATCATTAGAGATGTCCGACACCCTATGAAACTCGTCTGGTAGGACACAATGCTAGCAAATAGTATCGAACATCCTGTAACGAATATTCTCCTATTTAGACCTCTTCTCAAGGTTTTAAAACGCGTCTGATAAAGGAAGGTTTCCACACCCTTAAAACGCGTCTAGCACACTACCTCGTATCTACTCCCTTCGGGGAATAGCAAGAAAAGCTAGCACATCATCCGGTATCTGGTTTTGATACCAACAGTTGCGATCTTAAATTAAGTAGAAAATTTTGGGTCATTACACATCCGATAAAATTGGAGGGTCCCACATCGATTGGAGAAAGAAACGAATGCCAGCAAGAACGTTGTACCCCAAAGGGAGTGAATTGTTAGATTCCAATCCGATTATAGAGGAGAATGAAACATTATTTATAAGGGTGCGGAAACTTCTCCCTAGCAGACACGTTTTAAAAACCGTGAGCCTGACATCAATACAAGAAAAAAAAAACGAACAATATTTGTTAGCAGTGAGTTTGAGTTGTTACAAATAGTTGAAGTTTCTACACTCTTATAAATAATGTTTCATTTCCACGGCGACAAATATTCATTCTATTATGTATAATAAAATTCATTAAAAATATTTATACAAATCTATAAAAAAAAAAAAATGCATTAAATGGGAATATGGTTCATACCTATATAGCTAGCTATGTATATATATATATTATAGAAGTATATAGTATATAGTATATGATAGGGAAGTGGGATTATTTAATTAATAATATATTAATTATTCCCTTTTTTTTATTCCTTTCCTTAAAATATATTCTTTTGAGAATTTTACTGTGGATGAAAAAAAAATTAAAATTGTTTGTACTTTTTCTTTAACATAGGAATTTGCTTATTCAGGAAACTTTTACTTTTATGGCAAAACCCTTAACCAAACCCAATAAAAATTTCCTATCATATAGTAATTAAAGTCACATTATATTTTAATTTGTATAACCCAATGTTTATTTTCATGAATATATAATTATACAATATGATATTGTCATTTCATTAATTAAATCTTCACTATAGGTTGAATTATACTATAAAGTTTTATTTGTCGGTGGGCTCCATCTTTCCATATTATTTACATTATTCCGTACAGTTATTTGGTTGGTCACCAATTTCCTAGAAACTTTTACCACTTCTGAGTAAATTAATTCTCTTTTTTAATATATTTTTTAAATTCAATTTTTATGAATTTAATGGAATCATATTAATGATGGTTTATTTTAATTAAAATTATTTTTTCGCAGTTAAATATTATTGGTCGATGATGTTGATATTAGGATTAATCGATATCTTCAATTTTTTTAAATACAAAGAGTATTAAAAAAATATTATATATTTATTTCAATATAAATATGTATAATTTAACTTTGAATAAAAATAATTTAATTATTAATTAAATACTTTTTTTTATAAAATTAATGTTTTTTTATATATATAATCTATTGATGATGATATTTTATCGACATTTTAATTTTCTATCTTAATTATTAATTTTGTCGAAATTAATATAATAAAATAATAATAAACACAATTAATTAATTAAGTCTATTAAAATTTTATTATATTGTGAATGGTAAATTAATTATTAATGATATTTTTTAGCTAAATTAATGCAAATTTTATTTAATTAAAATATTTTATAATCCCCACCATATATGATATGAGTCATTGGTCCCTCCAATTAGTGGCTTCTACACCTTTTATTTATTCGAAGTGATTAATGTACAAATTTCTAGGGTTATATTATAAATCATACTTAGGATATGTATTAAATGAAATTACCATATAGTTTTTGGGAGCGTCTATGTTAAGCTAGCAAGAAAAAAATGTATACGTGACGTTAATAAGAAAATTAAATATAATTTTTCAATAAAAGAGAAAAGGACATTAGTAATACTATTTTTCATGTTCGAGTGAGATAATAAGATTAGTTTATACTAAGATTAAATATTATTAAAATTGATAATAATTAAAGCGATGACTCCGAAAACTATGTAAAAGTTTATGGATTATAATAAAATGACTTCTTAGCTGTCACTTATAAATAACGCTGTACAAATAATTAAAATATGTACCTGACACGTGAAGATGATAATGTATTTTTAAAAATTTAATTAATATTTAATTAAATAAGTTTTCATATATTGAATTAATTTTTTGTTCGGCCTCCGACTTTCAACTTAGAAGCTGTGAATAACTTAAGCTGACTTACTTAAATATTATATATTATATATATAATAATTATAAATAAAATAGTGAATGATTTTTGTGGAAATTGTACATGGTAAATTAGTTAATTATTAATATAATAATGAGAAAAAAGGATTTATTTAAATAAATATAAAATAAATAAATAGGACATTTCTAATTATGGCATGGAGCTCCATAATTGGGCTGAAAATGTTCTTAGCCGGCGCGTTTGATTGGCGTAATGTAAATGGAAAGGAAAGCTAAAAGGAAGAACACGTGGCAGGCGTGGAGAGGAAGTACATACGTGGACATCCTAGAAACGGCAACAGTGTATAAATTCTCTCTTCTCGGGCGCCGCGAGCGACGTGTCGGCGATCTATTCGACAAAACAACTTCCAAACATCTTTTTGCCATTTCCACTTCTATGGATTTGGTGCGTACGAGGAAACCACAGCTCCACGCGGAGAATATCGCGTGGAGTAAACGCGCCACGTAATGTCGACACCTATGCCGAATCACAGACTCGGGATTCTGTGTCGGAGGTCAGGGAGTCTCGGATTGATTTCCGAAGCAAAATGTCAGCTGGAGAACGCGAGTACAAAACAGTTTCTGTACTCGCAGCGGTTAGCTCGAATCCACAAAACTTAAAAAACAAAACCACTAAGCGGTTTTGAGCTGCATCCTGGTCGAATAGCAAAACCGCTTTCAGCTTTATTTTTTTTTTCAAACTTCTTGAAGCATATAGTGCAATAAGTAGAAAGGAAAAAAAAAAAAAAAAAGTGTGTGTAGAGAGAGAAAGAGAAGAACTTATCTCTCTCTCTCTCCAAGAAGGCCACAAGAAGAAGCAAATCAGCAGTAAAAATCGTGTCTTTTTTGCCGTTGTTCTTCAGGTGTTTATGAATTTTGGGTAATTTTCATAGTTTTTGGATCTGAAAATTGGGTTATTTGAGGGCCCTTTTGGGCATTTGGGGATGGTTTTGGCTTGAAATTGAAAAGAAAAAAAAAAAAAAATGGGAAGAGGGAAGATAGTGATAAGAAGAATAGACAATTCAACGAGCAGACAAGTGACGTTTTCGAAGAGAAGAAGTGGGTTACTGAAGAAGGCTCGAGAGCTTTCGATTCTTTGTGATGCTGATGTTGGATTGATCATTTTTTCAAGCACTGGGAAGCTCTATGACTATTCCAGCTCCAGGTCCGATCCCTTTCTCTCTCTACAATTTCTCTCTCTTTTATTATTTTTCTCTTCATTTTATCATCTGGGTTTCTCTGTTTTTCTTTTTAAAATCTATTATTTGTGTTTTTCTTTTGTAATTTTATGATTTATTAACAAAACTTTGGTATCCAAGATCATAACTTTTGAAGCAGTATAGCTTTATGGTTCATAATTATAAAAAAAAAAGGCTTGAAATTTATGGTTTTAATTTGAAGAGGATTATCAAAATAATGGAATTATTTTGGTGGAAAAATCTGAAGCACGTAAATTTATTTTTACTTTTTTAATTTTGCATGGGATTATCTTATATGTTGATATTATTAATCCATTAGTTTCATTTTTGCTGTAATTAGTTTTTTTTTTTAATTATTAATGTTCTTTTTTGGTCTTTGAAATTTGGTTTTAAGGATTAATGGTTTGAGATTTCACATAATTGTCGTGGGTTGAATGTTTTGTTCGTATTTTTTGATTTGTAAATTGTTGGAAACATGTAATGTGATTTAGATTCTTCTTATCTTTGCCTATATTTTTTTTTAGGGTTTGTGTTTGCTTTCTCCTTTTCGTTTTATAATATTCGTTTCTCGAATTCTATATTTTTTTTCTCGTTCTTTCTCTTATGACCCTTTAAATTCTCTCGAGTAAGGTTTAACGAAACAATTTTTTATAAATTTTTCTTTATAAAATTCTCTATTTATGTATTATTTCATTACCTATTTTACAAAAAATTATAAGGAGCCGAACTTTGGCAATGAAATATGAATTTTTGAAGCGCGTCCTACACCAAATTTAAATATGTAAATATGAATACATGTTTTTCTTTTTGTTCAGTGTTTGTGTTTTTCAGTAGTTTTTTAAAAAATATAAATTAAAAAAATGGAGATTAAGTACACTTTTTACTACTAAGGAAAATAAAATAAAAAATAGTTCGAAAATAAGTATTTACAAATTAAAGAAAAATCGATATGGAAGCTTATTTGTGTTCTTTGATAGCTATTTTCTTTTTTCATTTATATTTAAAATTATAAAACTATTTGATAGTTTTCTTTTACATACAAGTACTGTGCTTTTGTAATTAAATATATTTTTAAAAATAAATTTTGAATATTTACTTTGAGAAATGAAAGTAATTAAACTATGACATAGTAAGATGTTAAGTTGAATTGATATTAGGGTTGAAAATTAAGAATTAATTTTTTTTTTTCATTTTAACTAAGATTTAAGACTTAAATAAATACACTTTCACATTATGTTATTCTCTTAGCTTCAAACATTTATATTTTTCACCTTTAATAATAAATAGATAATTTCGAATAAATAAAATTAAAATCAATCATTTCTCCCCGACAAATCCTCCTTTTTTGGACAAAGTTACAACTTCTTTGTTTGATATTTAAGATTTTATCGACATGTTAAGAGAAGATAAGAGCATGACGATACTTGATAGGACGACTTTCACAATTGTATGATATTGTCTACTTTGAGTATAAACTTTCATAACTTTACTTTTGATTTTTCCAAAAATTCTCAAACTAATGGAGATAGTGCTTTACTTATATACTCATGATCTTCGTGAAACTTCAACAATCCTCAACAAATTTAGACTGAAAATTCAATCTACAAGTTCAAGACAATTATTACATAATTGGAATATATATCATGCTTGTAACTCTACTGACTTAACTAGGTTCAAGAAATTAAGCTAATATTTTAACCCTAATTGTATATGTCATTCCCTATAATAATATTCAGATGTTCCAATGTTTGAATTTAGACATGCATGAAAGCTTAAATCAAAGTTTCACACAAATTATTCATTGTGGCCAACAATGTATACATAGTAGATTAAAAGATCTACACGCTCCCTAGTAACCATCATGTATAAATTTGAAATATCTCTCTTATGATTTTAAGAGTGAAATTGTCGACCACTTGGCAGCTGCCTCAGGCGGTTGTTTGTCTTAAGGTAGTCCCCGCAAAGCTTTCCGGAGGAAGAGTAGTCTTGTGTGTAAGAATAGCACTTCTGGTCGAATCTGCCCAACCGAAGAACCAAACCTTAGCCCCAAATGGCAAAAAAGAGAGAGCCAAAAAGAAAAACATTGACCATAATCACTGATCCTCAACCATAGAATTACCAGAAGTTTGCTAGAAACAAGACAACGCCTTTGAAGCAAAAAGGGCAAAGCCATAGTTGGTTGTTTAAGTCCTTCACATCACATCCGTGCATAGAACAACCAGAGTATGTCAGGGTAGCATTTTTTTTATAATCTTAAAAACATAACTCATGAGAAATTTCTTCCTTAAGATCCCCCATAAAAATATGCTATAGGATATGAGTCATGGCCCTTCTTTAACAGGGCTACAACGTTGTTTGTATTCTCGTAAATCATCTTATTTGAGGAACTATCATATGGAACAAGGTATTCTGTAACTATATGTTTGGAAGAAAATTAGAGGATCATCTCAACTCCAATGCAGCTTCAAGTTCTACATTTCATATTGGATAAAGACATATCAAATGATTGCTCCCCCTAAATAAGATTATGGACAAGAGTCAAAGCAAATACATTAAAAACATGGTTTGAGAGACTGAAAGGTTTGCCTGAGGGAGGAAACAGTAGAAGATAAAATCAAAATGAAAGATAATAATGAGTATTACTAGGATACAAGATGGAGGATAAATGTTTTCGAGAAGAAAAGACATGAAACATGGAAAGAAATGTTCGTAGAGTGAAATAAATCATTCTTTTTATATCATGCGTGTTTGAGTCAACGTACATGCACCTTGTTGACCATTATGACCCTAATTCATTTAGATGCCAAGAAAATTTGTAAGATATAAAATTCTAGGTAGTTAGCAGGCTGTTTATTATTTACATTGGCTCTTATTGACCATTATGGCCAACCCAGGATGGATGTGAAAGAAACCACAAGAAAGAGAATAGAAAAGAAACAATAAAATAGAGTAACCAAAATAGTCTTTAGCATATTCCGTTTATATCTATTGTTGCTGAATTTTCTCTCTTTCGTTTCTAAATACAAATGACAGATTGAAACGATGTTTGTACCTATATCTAATTGCAACATAGAACTTGTACTAGATATTTCCTTGACCTATCAGCCATGAAAACACAAGGCACCGTTCCTATGTTCTGAGACAACACCGTGAACTATCACAGCCCTCTAGCAACAAAACAGATCAGAATCCTTCCCACAAAATACTGCCTAAATTGGGACTAAGTTGGGAAAACTCCACCAATCCATGTTCATAATATAATGTCTTTGTCAGGAGTTCCATGATTTGTGAAAGAAGTGCACAAGCAGGTATCATTGCTTTTTTAGGTAGAATTTGAGTTATTCTTTCTAATCTAAAATCTTATGTGAATGAAAACACACAAATTCAATGCATTTATACAACTCTTTTATATTTTTCTCGGTAAATAGGTATTTGTTTTTTCTGCTCCATTGGTAAATAGGTATTTGTCTCTTATCTTTCATTCGGTAAATAAATAGGCTGAGATTACCTATGGTCTCACAGCAAGATTTTCTCCTCCTCTTTCTCATTCTTTCTCCTTATTCCTCAAGTAAAGACTCCTTATGAAGCTTTGCTCCCTTTTGGGTCAGAAAGGGGTAGAGGACCAAAATAAACCAATAACTCTACGTCAAGCAATAAGCAGACTATTATTGGTAACTCACGTATTGAAGTTCATGATGTTTCATGGAATGGCATGGCAATTAAAAATTCCAGATTTGCTTTAAAGAGTGTGATTATGTACTGAATAATCTAATAGTTTCTATCTTATCAGCATAAGGTCGATTACTGATCGCTACAACAAGATGAAAGAGGAGCAAAATCAGTTGATGAACCCTGTTTCAGAACTCCAGGTAATCTTTCTTCGTTCATCTGCAATTCCAATTTCCTCGTTAACATAAACATCTGCATGTTTGCTGTACTTTGAATGAAGCACAAACTTTGAATAGAGTTTCCAACCAATACATTGAGACAACTATGTTCCTCAAAGATGATTTTTTTCCATGGTGAAATTCGATGGCTTGGAACATCAGATGGTACTCCATAGGTTATGCCTCAGTGAGAAGCAAAATAAGGCGATGGGGATGATAAAGTGAGAAAAAAGGCCAAGGACATTAAGAAAATAACTTCTGTGACAGACTCTCGATCCCTGCTACAACATATTTAGAGAACTTGTTTTTGTTGTGATCTTCAAAACGTTTATGAAAATTGGTCCCATTTGAATTAACGATAGGCTTCCTTAGGCAATTACACAAGGAGATAAGAAGGGGGGCAGTAAGGAGAGTAAGGAGATATTGAGTGGGGGAAGTAGTAAGAAGGAAGAGATAAAGGGCAGGATCCATGTAACCATCTGAGAAGCATTTAAGTTGTTTGAAAAGAAAAAAGTGAAGTGTTTTAGTAGTTGAGGGCAGTAGAGAAAGTGGAAATTGTTAGAAGATTATTCTTTTGGGAGTAAGAGGAGCTCTAGATTTCTCCTAAATTGTACTTCACTTTTGCTCAGAAATGAACCTTCTTTTAATCTTGCGGAAGTTGTATGAGGGAGTGAGTTTGTCGAAGAATGATGGAAAATAAAAAGATGGAGAATCAAAATAACGCTGTGGTTGGAAGTTTTCCAAAGTTGATGAAATTTTCCTTGGTTTAGGGAGGTTTATTATTTCGACTTTATTAACGGAGCCTCTACTATGTCCTTGGCCCTAATTAATTTATTTTGTGAAAATAAGCTATGGACTTGAACGACCTTTTGTGACTTCTCCTTTTGGCTTCCAAACCTTCTCAGGCATCAATAGTGTTGAGATTTTAATTTTTTGAATATCCACGAGTGTGTGTTAGTTTGCACATTAGTTGCCAAAACATCTTATATATGATATTAAACAGCTTGTAGGTTATAGTGGTAAGTGACCATTATAGCTTAAGCTCATTTCCTCTAAGTTGATTACTATTTATAATATTCCTTATTGACCACTAGATCAACCAGAGCTGGTTGAGAATATGTATAAAAGATTAAATATATCATAATCCATCGACTTAAGTTTTACAGTTCAATGGTAATTCAATAGTCTTAGAGGAGGAAGTCCAATGTACTTTGCAACATTGTTTCCTCTCTAATTGATATCAACCTAGCCTAAGCTTTTGGAGTTTAGTGTTAGTAATGATTTAATAGACAGATATGTTTTCCTTTTTCCTCACTTGCCCTTGTTCTTGATGGTTAGCAGTTAGGACTACTTGTAAACTATACCTAGTGTTACTGTTTATTATGTGATCCCTGTGTCTTGGGTGGGTTTGTCTGGCCTTTCTTTTCATTTTTTAAGTCTACACAATCCCCAAGGCTCAAATCTAGAGACATCAACGGTTTTTCCTTCTATTATACTTTCACTTATAAAAGAAGGAAACAATGTGGCATAATAAAACCCCTATGATGTAAACTTATCAACCTTGGAAGCACCAAGAAATCTCAAAACAAAATACTTCCAATAATAATGTGTATGAGCACACTGAGATTAAAGGTACTACTGTAAGAGTTTTTTAAAATCATGGACGTAGACTATAGCCTAGAATAGGACTGACGGAAAAAATAAATGCATTTACCCCAAAATCAGTAAGTACAGCACAGAAATAATAGTTTCTTATGCCTTTACAATGTTTTTATTCCTTAGTTGAAATATATCCCTTTTGATTCAAAATGAAGTAAAGTCATGCATTCCAAATAAATTAGTTAGAATCATTCGAATGGTTCAACATACCTATGCCAAAGTAATACTGTAACGCTGACCATCTGTTCTACGCTTGTTAGTTTTGGAAAAGAGAGGCAGCTGGTTTGAAGCAACAACTGCATTACATGCAAGAATGTCACAGGTACTCCAACTCTTGCTGTGCTCTATATGTTATACAAGGGGAAAAAAATCAGCCAAAGATGTTTAAGGAGAGTAAATATTAATATATGTTCAACAATCGCTACATTTAAGTCCTCAGTGCTATATCTCATCAGAAAGTTGCTGAGAAATCCCAATCTCCAATTGTAAATTCAAATGACAAATCTAAACGATGCCTGAGTAGAAATTAGTAAAAGTCCTTGAAAATGACTGTGTAAGAAGATCATGTTCCACCGAACAAAAGTAATTAAAAAAAATTAGGTGTTATATTAACTTATTTTGCAAAATGAAAATCAATGAAACTTTGACTAGAGGTCCTAAATTTTATCATTCTGAAAACAGAAATTAACAATATTGACATGCTTTTTAAAGACAATATTCCAACGCAAAAAATTTCTCAAATATACTATTAATGACATTTCAGCCTAGACACTTGCTATTATATCAAAGTGGGCAAATCCCAAGTGATCCTCTATTTCACAGGTCATTCATAGAAAACCAATGTTCTTAACAATCAAGTGCCGAAATATTATACGATGAATGAGAAAAATGGCAATGTTAATTTAGGAGCTAAAAAGATCCCTACCAAAAAAATTATGAGATAAAGATAGGTGTTCCTTTCTACTACAAAGGCTAAAATCCTTCCAATCCAAAGAATCAAGTAAATGATTAACAACATGCACATAGACACCAATAATTGTATATTTTCTGACCCATTGGTCGAAAGCATGCCTTAACAAGTTAAACTACGTAAACGACTTTATATTCAAAGTGTAAGAGTAACAACAGAATTTTTAGAGAAAGGAGAAAACTTGGGAAGAAGTTTGGTTCCTTTGTAGGTTTCATACCTCTACGAGCCTCAGTTAGTTAATATTGTTCCTTATTATTTTTGTTTGTCTCCTGAGGTTGATTTTTTTTTTTTTTTTAAATTCCCCCATACTATTTCATTTTTGCTCAATGGAAGAATGATTTCTCAGCATATACTAGCCTATCAGTATCATAGGGCTCTAAATCCACTTTCAATTGTCAGTGCTAGAATAACTTTATGCGGTAAGTGATAACTTCATAACATATTTTAAGCATGAGTGGTAGGCATCACACAATCCTTAGTTCTGTAAAATTTAACTGATCATTTGATTATCATGATAAAAGGTGGATTACTTAAGATTTTACTAACACCATAAGTTGCCATCCATGCTCTATACCATAATTAAGGCATGCTAACGACTGAGATAAATTAAAACAATTCAAGTCTGAATCTGTAGGGAATGGTAACATAATTCAACATTGTACGCAAATGTGCAAAGGAATTCCTAACATATCCACGCTTCTATATTTGCAGACAATTAATGGGTGAAGAACTATCTGGCCTGAGTGTCAAAGATCTACAAAATCTGGAAAGCCAGTTGGAGATGAGTTTGAAAGGTGTCCGTGTGAAAAAGGTATAAACTATGAAGAGAGATCAATAAAACATACACTGTATACGGATGTTTATGTGTTTTTGTATTTGTTTTGCAGGAAAAGATTTTAAGCGAGGAAATTACTCAACTAAGACAGAAGGTTCCCCCCACTGTAAACATCCATGTATCTCATTGTACCAAGAAGTGCTGTAACAACAGCTAACTTGCAATAATTATCTTGCAGGGGAATCAAATGCATCAAGAAAATCTGGAACTCTACAAGAAATTAGATATGATTCGTAAGGAAAATGCAGAACTACAAATGAAGGTAGAAATACAAAACATATGTTGAAATGCTTCTTTTTCTTTTTTAATTGTAAAAAACGGAACTTTTATTGAGAAAAATGAAAGGGCATAAAATACAAACCCACAAAAAATGAAGCCCTATCACTAACTAAAGAAACAAATAACAATCCAAGAGGATTCATAGGCCAGGTAATAGATGCTCATATGGACTCGTTATACCTAACAAACACCAAAACCTCCTCTGAAGATCTCTCGACATCCCTAAAAACTCTGTTACTTAATTCAATCCAAATCCCACTCAACAAGGCAAAGAAACAAGACAGCCACAAAAATCTTCCTTTATCCTAAAACAGGGGATTCAAGAGCCCTCCACAATCCTGGGGCTGCGCTCTCTACCACGAGCCAACATAGGCCAGATGTTATTGAAATTCTTCATTGTCAACTTTTTCACAAGCCTTTCTTAGTTATAAGAATTCAGAAGTTATTCTTACAGCTTATTTTTAACCGATAAGGATAATTTTTAGGTTACTTCCATGCACCATTCTTTCTTGTTTTCCCTTTTCTTTGCTTATATATGTGTGTGTATGTATATATATAAATACACTTTTGGGTGGGGAGTGGGTTATGGGTGGGAGAGGGAGAGGGAGAGGCGGATTGCTGACACTGGAAAGGGACTTATTTTCCTGCTAAATAAGCTTGACTGTGCGTTTTTTTAAGTATCAGGTCTATGGACCCATGGAAGTGGATAAAACGAGCAGTAGCACAGTTCATCAATTCACTTTCGCCAATAGATACGGTATGCCTGCTCCCGTCCATCTACAGCTAAGACAGCCACAACCACAAAACAACGAAACATCAATACCAGGGATAAAGCTGGGGTATGTTCTAGCAAACTGTGTCATGACATGAATTAAATTGCATATCACATTCATCTGAATTTCAACCTATACTACACAACTTTTACTCCCAGGCCACACTGAAATAGATTTATTGAAACTTGTAACAGATTACAACTGCAATAACAGCATTTGGATCATGGATGATTTGTCCATGGTCATTTCACCAACTTGTCATAAAGTACGCTCATGTTCAACATCAAGGTGTCTCCTGCTTCAGTCACTAGTGCATTAACATCACCAGATCCATCACATTTGGTATGCAATTTTCTTCAAACACTATATATGTGATAAACTTAGCAGCCAGACCAGCTACCTATGTAAGTTTACCCATAATGACAATGCATCATATGTGCCATGCGTTGTTCTACCTGTTCTTATAGTTTGTTGTGTTAATTAATTAGACCAGACTCTGAAGTTGCGATGCCAATTAGCTGAATATAAATTAATGTTTATCCAATTTTATATAAGGTGGTACACTAAGCTGGTTGGCAGTTGAATGCATGAGAGATGCCTATAGTGTGGGCTTCTTTTTGAGTTGCTAAAATCAACCATATAAAATAATCCTTTATCCTAAAAAAGTGAGCTGTTTTGGGGGGTTAAAATAACCGTTCACATCCTTTGCTGATACTCCACTTGACTAAAATGATCAATGAAGGAGATCAACAATGTAAAGCCGCTGTTAGACCACAGAATTTTAAACCAGCAAAGGAATTTAAAGCAATTCACTTTTATAATCACCAATCCTCAAAACTTGAGTTGTTAGCTTATGATTATTTTGTCTAAATATTTAAGCACTCCGCAATATCTGCCCTGTCATACCCAACTTCAAGTAATATTATGTAGAAATGTCAATCTATGACTAATCCTTCAATTGATTTTTCTATTCAAGATATTTAAGCTTCAAATATGGCTAGAATGGTTGATTAAGAATCTAAAAAAACTATGTCAGAAACTAGAAAGTGTTGGCGGAGTAACCATTTTGCAATTTTCAAAAGAAAAAGACATTCATTCATTTCATCCTTTGGATATATTACATGCTTTTCCCCAATTATATTCCGCTTCAGGGTACTTTTACTTGTTAAGGCAGGTGCTAGGTTTGCTACCTCCTTTCAGTAGCCCAGAAGTTGGTTTTTGGAGACAAAGAAATCTTATTCCTTCAGCTCCATGGTAATGTTAACCCTCCTAAAGACCTTAACCCTCCATTGTAGAAAATGAAATCTTAACCCTCCTAAAGACCTTCCAGAGAGGAGATGGCATCATTTCATCTTACTCAAACCAGGATGCAACTTGACTTTGTAACCTTATATGTTCGCATTATACATATATATCTTTGTGCATGTACGGGTGAGAAACAAGGATATTTCGGCTAAATGGATATGGTGATCCCATCAGTTGCAACCAAGTATTGTCCACACCCTTTTGAATAGACCGTTGGCACTTTTAGAAACCTAAGGGAAAAAAAAAGTTCGGTTGAACTTCATTTTCTTTCCCAGTTTGCTCAGAGTATGGTGGGAGATGGGAGGAATACTCATTTTTAGGAGGATGAGTGATGGGGGATTGATCCCTTTGCTCCTTATACCCCTATTCCCCTGTTTAAATCAATTGCCCTCTTCTCACTCTGACAATCAAGCCACGATGGTTATTCTGACACTGTTTTCTTTGGTGGGTAACTTTCGCTTTAGCCTTGGCAAGATGGATTTTTGCCTTTAGAGTCTATGTCTATCCAAAGGCTTCTCTCGCAATTCTTTCTTTCGACGTATGGTTTAGAGGCCATCGAGTGGTTTTGTTTATTCCTCTATATGGAAGGTACAAATTCCCAGAAGACTTAGTTTATCGTGTGGCTAGCTATGCATGGAAGTGTTACCACCTTGGATCGAACCTCGGCCAAAGAGTCCATTTTGGCCCGACAGCTTTGTTGTATTATTTGTAGGAGGGCGGCAAAGAACCTCAATCACATCTTCCGGAGATTTGGAATAGTTTTTGTAAGGTGTTCAATTCTTGCTTTGCCGCTATCAGGGTTGTAGCGAGACAATCAAGGAGCTTCTTCTCATTCACCATTTGATAAGAAATGATTGTTCTTGTGGCAGGTCCGGGTGTACGCTATTTGAGGGAGCAAGAGCAATAATAGAATCTTAGAGAGTGGGAGAGGTCTTCAAGTGATGATTGGTCCCTTGTTAAATTCTATGATTCTATTTGGGCTTCAATGACAAGGCAATTTTTGTAATTACACTCTGTCTTGTGTTGCCAGATTAAGGCTTTTTTTGTACGTTCAATATTCTTTCATTTTTTCTCATGAAAGTTCAGTTATTCATAAATTTAATAAAGAAATACGTGCAAATGTATATTCATATGTACGATATAATCAGTATAAAGTAGAAATCAAGCTAGAGATGCAAAGGTTAGTGGATTAAAAGAACGCATACAATACCATCCTGATTGTAAAGCTGTAAACTGGTTTGATATAAATATACAGCACAGAAACAAGAACTTCCGCTTCTGACAGATTAAATCTAGGGAAGTAAATATGAATGATATACAATATATAGCAGAAATTATAAATCTACACGCCCCATAGCACAATTGATCAAGGTATACATAACAAGAGGAATCACCAGTACTAACATGAGAGATAAATAATTTTAACCCACAAGTAAATAAGAAAAACGTGAAAGGAGGACAGAAAACAAAATCCACCAAAGTAAATAGCAGTGGAGTACGCATGTAACGCTCAATACTAGCATACCTGATCGATAACACGCATAATCACCATGAATTTAATATCAAGAAAATCTCACTTACAAATCATTCAGCCATAAACATACCCACAATCATGCTTGACATAAACCAAGTTTACGAGCAAATATGAGATATAAAAGCAAGAAAATAATTATTAAATTTCAGAAATAACACAGAATCAAACACATTAGATGGTTCGATATAAACTATGAGCTACTGTTCATAAATATACTCAACCCCTTACCTTATGAAGAGAGGTACCCTGCCTAAAACTTGATGTGTTACTAGATTAAGTTTTGAAACTAGCATGCCATTGCTGGCTCTTTAAAGGCATTACACTTTCCCATACAAGCACAAGAACGAACAGAACATCAATAGTCATTCATATTTGCCCTTTATTGTGTGTGCTATAACTGGACTAGACGGATATCACTAACTCACAGATTTGAAAAATAAAACAAAGGCAGAATCAATCTATGAAACGAAATAATAAAATCATTAAATATACTAAGAATAAAACCATTACATTATTAGTGACAAAAAACAATGAATTATCAAGAAATAAAGAAATAGGACTTCTCAGACCTTATTAAGAGTTGAAGTTGCAAATCAAGAGATGAAATAAAACTCTTAAGAAGCTAAATAAAAGCCCTTAAGTCGTTAGTCACAAAAACTCAAAGGGAGGCCCAAACACCCCTCCCCAAGCTCTCCACTACTCTAAGGACTCTTATTTCTCTTCAGATTAATGTTCCAAAAGAGTAAAAAAAAAACGAGAAGGAAGTGTTTGCCAAAGATCTGCCCCTATCCCGAAAGGAGGGTGCAGCAACACCTCCTCCAAAACTACTCTGCTATTTTCCTTCCAAATGCCTAAAACAAGGCTCAAATCACTTCTACAAACTAATCTCCAGAAAATATGCTCCAAATTCATCAAGGCACTCTTACAAATAAGCAGTAATGAGGTCCCCCAGAGGAAAAGAAGACGATAATTGCATAAAGTCAATGGTATTAATCCTTCCGTGAGTGGCCTGCCAGACAAATAATCTAACCTTCTTGAGATTCTAACCTTCCAAAGCAATGAGAACAGGAGGTGGTGGTGGGGGCGGGGGTATAGAGAGACCACGAAAAAGATGGAATGGAGCAAAGCCCTCCATCCAAATCTTCTTTCTAGGAATACTAATTACGCTTTAAGAAACCACAACAAGAAATCCGGTCTAGAATTTCTCCTTGAAATAAAGGCACCATCGTACTTCTAGAAAGTGCGGTAATATAACTCTCCAATTCATGAAAGTTACATATTCCAGCTAGTACCTTTCCAATGATCTAATATAAGCTAGCGACAAGGCCAATGGAACCTAGATTATATAGATAAGACGCGCCAACCTAGATTGATTTTTCTGAAAGTTTCTTTTTATATCATAGTTTATCATTTGATGTTGCTCAACACATCAACAATATCAAATTTCTTTTCTACTATACCAGTTCTAACTTTCCCTAGCCGTAGTACAACTAAAGAAGTCAATTCAGGCCTATCTTACACAATGACCAATATGAAACATTTTTATAAGCTAACAATACAAAAAGCAAAAGAACAATATGCAAGTTGATAAAAACTTGGAACATGATCAGCTGCATTTTGGTACTAACTGTTTTTTTTTTTCTTGGGGTGGGGGGGCAGTGAAATGCCATGTACCATGATAAAAATAGAACAATAGGTTGGATGGCGAAAGAATCGGGACCACTGTTGGATTACAAGTTAATGTATTTCAAGAATTAGGGTAAAATGTTTATATACATTCCTATAAACTGGTGCTATTGAATTCTTATATGCCATCAATGATTTTTTTATTATGATTTTATTCTGGATTCTGAAAGATTAAAATTAGAAAAATATTGAACAGCTAGACAAAATTCAGATCAACAATTGTGGATTGCAGAATTCACTTAATGGGTCCATAGAGATTCTATTGTGAAGAGTTCTACATATTTTACCTCCACAAGGTTTTTTAAGGGTTTGACTTATATTATCCTATTATCTGCAATATGAATTCAGATAGTGACATCAACCAACTTCTCCAATTAGCTCTAAATCTTTTAAATATAGATCTGACCTATGCATATGAATACTATATCCATTTCCCAAATTACAACTGGTCCTGGAAGGTAATATGATTATATATAATTAAAACAGTGATATTAACAATTAAGAAAGATAAGAAGGAAAATTGATCGCACTCAAACATGATATGTATATAAACCATTAATCATATAAGTAGAAATATTTGATATCGACCAAAAATAACAAGAATACTTGTATAAGTTACCAACGTCCATATCTATCATAAAAAATCCTTGTTAGATAGACATAAAACTTGGTACGGGACATCTAAGGCACAAGTAGGCTACCCAGCATGTGAGGTCCCTGTTGTTGCAGGGTCCACGAATATTGGTTAACATTATAAAAGATAACTAATGGTATTCCTACAGTGCAAGACTGAACAAGAATATTAAATTATACAAGATGAGGACACAAATCCTACAGGTATAAAAGGGAGACATATTTCCAGATCATACGGTCTCCTTTCCTACCATTAAACTCATAATTTCATCCATTGGCTTCCAAACATCATGAATCTTCTATAACCTTATACCAAGTTCTACCAAGAAAAGTGTCTTCAAAACATCATGAATCTTCTATAACCTTATACCAAGTTCTACCAAGAAAAGTGTCTTCAAAACATCAAAGATCAAGAAAAAAAAAAACAATAACACTACACATGACAACTCCTTGCATTAGGTGCTTGTTATCTAGCCAACCAGTTCAAAAGTCACCAAAAACACGCAAAAAATTCAAGTAAATGAATATTGCAAGTCTACCTTTACTTCACACCCATTTTCGAGGTGGCCAACCAACAACGGCCAGAGCTTGCGTCAAAGTTTCAAACGATAATGAGCAAGTATTCCAGATATTGATTTCTCGATTACATTTCTGGAAACGAATTAAATGTAAGAAAATAGAATAGATGTAATGTAGCTGGTGCTGCATTCTGTGAGAAAATCAGTCAACTAATCATGCAATTGCAGTATATAAAAGCACGTAAGCTAGAACGTTATACACAGCGCATCTATATTCTAAACAAAACAAAAATAAACTCTCAAACGGTTCGTCTGAGAATCGTCCGCACCATTACCCAAGCCATGCATCCGTTGGATACGAGAAACTCAACTCCCAAAAAGAAAACAATATACAACTATCGAGAATCAATATCATCTACTACGAAAGGCAGCTGCACCACCACGGAAGAACACGTAACACCGTACCAATCTAAGCAAATAGAAAATGAGAGATAACTGAGGGAAAACGTTATTACAAGCTGGAAGCACAAACCTCGCATGAATAAAGTAAATGATCGAGCCTCCAAATCAAGAAACCGCCATTGATGATTCCGAACAAGCAGCAACAACTCAAAGCTTAGATAGAGATGAAAAATTCCGAAGAGAGATAGCATCGTATACAGAAGCGCGATCGATTTTCCATGGGACTTTCAGCTCTGTTTTTCCCGCGGATTGAAAGAAGAATCAAAAGCTCACTACAACGAGGAGAGAGAAGAAAATATATCAGCCAATTTCGAGCAAGGAAATAAATAATGTCCTAATTCTAATTCTAATTCTAATTCTCTACAACCGAACCCACGAAAGAACCGTTCATCGGGACACCTGGCGATTTTTCACACGTTGATTTGACACTAAAAATGACTGATTTGACCCGAATGGTGGACTCGGAATAACTGTAGCGTACGGAAGTTACAGGAACTGATTTTGCGGGGCCCACAATTGCAAATGCAGGACACGTGGACCCGACAGATCGGACAAAAGGGAACCAACTTGACAAGTTGCTGGAAATTTTGGCATATGCCTCAATAATATTTATTATTTATTATTTTTATATTACATGTGGGAATTTTATATTTTTTTCACTTTATTCCTTATCTTTTTAAATGTGATTAAATATATATTTTGCCATAACGCATTTAGCCTATTTCACTAAACATAATACAAATAATGAAAATAGATATAAAGTGCATTTTTTTAATTATTATTATCTAAAAAAATTTGATAAAATTATAGATTAAATTTAAAATTTATTGAAAATTAACAAAAATATGGACAATTAAAAATACAAAGACTTTAAATAGAATTAATTATAAAATACATGAACAAAAATATAATTGTTTTTATCATAATATTGTGAGTTAAAAAATACAGAGACTAAAATAGTATAAAATACGGGATATATATATATATATATATATATTTATCTAACTGGGCAGCTATCAACCAGCACGCCCTTGGCTGTAGGACAACTAGCCAAATCACAGTGCTCGCCTGCAGTGCCCCACCAATCCACACTCCTCTCTTCCATGCCAACTGAGAAGTACAACAACACAGCCATGAAAGCCATGCCGCCATCCAAGGCAGCTGAAAGAATGTAATTGTATCTCTGCCACCACTGCTTCCGATATCGAAACACGACGAAGTTGAACACGGTTCCTATCAGAACCCAGGAATTGTAGTTCACTGCCGTCGCCGGGGGCATATATGCAGTCGCTCCGAGCAACACCGGGAGATTGATTAGAGGAATCCAAGTTTTTTTTGGGAAGGCTCTGTGGAGTAGCCATACTAGAATTGGCCCAACTGCACCACCAAGGAAGAACCAGTTCATGGTACCGTAGAATCCATGTGATCCGAATATCCGCTTTGGCCCAATCAGTCCCCATATGACCGAAGCGTCGAAGAAGACACGATCGCTTGGACACGTCCATGGACTGTTGGGAGGAAGGAGTTCCACTTCACATATATTTGTTATGGAGGTTAGTAACCACCATGCCACACAAAGGTTGATGGTTCCAGCTAGTATTGTACCTATGAACTACATTACTCATTCAAAACAGAACAAGTCAGCAAGTCTACTAAAAGGCTTGTCATTTTTTTACAGTATATGAGGAGGCGAACTCGAACTCGAGACCCATAAATATTATAGATGTTTTAACCACTAAGTTTGTAACATCCCAAAATCACCACTAGTAGATATTGCCTCTTTTGGACTTTCTCCTCAATGTTTTAAAATATGTCTACTAGAGATAGGTTTCCACACTCTTATAAGGAATGTTTTGTTCTTCTTTCCAACCGATGTGAGATCTCACAATCCACCTCCTTTGGTGACTCGCGTCTTTGCTGGCACACCATCCAGTGTCTGGCTCTGATACCATTTGTAACAGCCCAAGTTCACCGCTGGCAGATATTGTCCTCTTTGGGCTTTCCCTTCAAGGTTTTAAAACACGTCTACTAAGGAGAGGTTTCTACACCCTTACAAGGAATGTTTCGTTCTCCTCTCCAACCGATGTGGGATCTCAAAATCCATCCCCCTTGGGGGTCCACGTCCTCGCTGGCACACCGTTCGGTGTCTGACTCTAATACCATTTGTAATAGCCCAAGCCTAACACTAGCAGATATTGTCCTATTTGGACTTTCCCCTCAAAGTTTTAAAACGCATCTACTAGGGAGAGGTTTCCACACCCTTACAAGAAATGATTCATTCTCCTCTCTAACCAATGTGAGATCTCACAATCCACCCCTTTGAGGGCCCTGCATCCTTGCTGGCACAACGCCCTGTGTTTGACTCTGATACCATTTGTAACAGCCCAAGTTCACCACTAGCAGATATTGTTCTCTTCAGGCTTTCCCTTCAAGATTTTAAAACGTGTCTATTAGGAAGAGGTTTCCACACCTTTATAAGGAATGTTTCGTTCTCCTCTCCAACCTATGTAGGATTTCATAAAGTTATGCTAGGTAAGGGAAATTAACAACAAAGACCGTAACAAGTATCGAGTTAGAAGAACAAAATAGGATATTCGAAAGCACGAGAACCAAAACAAAATCAGTCTAACATCTTCGAACGAGTTGAACGAACCTGGACGAGGAACATTGATTTTGGAGGAATCTTCATATAATGTCCAAGCTTGAAGTCACTGAGGAAGGAGACAGCTTGAGCCATGCTCATGTAGCCATAGGTTTTAAAGCATACATTAGCAATTGGTCTTCCTGGATATATAAGTCCAATGACATACTCTGTAATGATATTCAGTCCTGGTGTCTGTTTTTGATCCAAAGACATTTGAACATGTAGAAAAGATGAGCTATCAAATACACATTGTGGAAACATTCATTTTTTGGATAAAGCTTTTACATAAAACCGTAAACTAAAAACGGTAGGCATTATCGTCAACCCGAGCATAGCTATAGGAATGATATTAAGGGCATATTAATAATTAGCTAGGGGCGTTGTTGTGGTATCTGGTTAATCACAGAATTATAGCTTATAGTTCAACTGGTTAAGGTATATACTACCGAACAAGAGGTCAGAGGTTTTTCCACTTTCCTCTGTCCTAACTGTTGTTCAACTCGAAATTCAAAATTGATTGATTGACTGTTGTTTTTCAAAGAGCTCGTGTCGTTGCATAATCCGATGGCAATTGAGGTAATTCAAGGGGAACAAATGAAAAGTGGCTTTTTCCAAACTAACCTGGTTTGTAGTGGCAGTAATAATACTGATGGGAAGAGTGAAGAGAAAGGCCATAACAGCAGCAAAGATAAGCCCCCACCATGGAAGCTGAACTTCATGTTTCAGAAATATGCAAAGTATTAGAGAAACCAACACTGTCGAAACAAGCAACAAGTAAAACCACCAGGAAGGTATGTCTTCATATCTCTTCATCAGCTTGGTATGGATATCTTCTTTGCCTTTGTACGAGGCGCGGTACCGTTCGTAGATCTCCCTATTCATCGTTAAGCAACTAGTTAGCGTTTCTTGTTTCATTTGCTCAAGAAAATATTCCACAGCCTAAACTCACCGCTAGCAGATATTGTCTTCTCTGGGATTTCCCTTTCAAGGAGATTCAAGCTCTCCTTCAAGATTTTAAAACGCATCTACCAGGGAGAGGTTTTCACACCCTTATAAGAAATGTTTCGTTCCCCTCTCTAACAGATGTGGGATCTCACAATCCACCCCCTTGAGGGCCCAACATCTTTGTTGGCACACTGTCCAGTTTGTCTCTGATACCATTGTAATAGTCCACGTCCACCGCTAGTAGATATTATCCTCTTTGGTCCGTTACATATCGCCATCAGCCTCACGGTTTCAAAACGTGTCTACTAGGGAGAGATTTCCACACCCTTATAAGGAATGCTTCGTTTTCCTCTCCAACCGATGTAGGATCTTACAATCCACCTCCCTGGAGGGCCCAACGTCCGGTGTCTGTCTCTGATACCATTGTAATGGCCCACGCTCACCACTAGTAGATATTGTCCTCTTTGGTTCGTTACGTATCGTTGTCAGCCTCACGGTTTTAAAACGCGTCTACTAGGAAGAAATTTCTACACCCTTATAAGGAATGCTTCGTTTTCTTCTCCAACTCCAACTGATGTGTGATCTCACCCCATATCTCAAAAACCCTCTAAGAAGTTTGAAAAAGGGAACAAACCAAAATGCCTCATTTTTGCTTTCATTTCACTGTCATTTTGAGCTTAACAGTTCAACCGTTAACTAATTCTTTAACTCCCGTTCGTAAGACAAATCTCTACTTAAGAAATAGATTCTAGAAGCTAAACCGACTAATCAAGTTCGATTATTGAAGATCCATACCTTCCATAGAAGAAACCAACATGAGTGAGAGTCGCAGCCACAGTGGCAAACCCAAAGCCATAAGTGAGAGCAAAAAACATGCTCAAATGAATCTGTCCATGCTCCTCGTACTTAGCCAAATCAAGCTCAAACTTGTCATTAACAATGGCAGTGATGTTATAAAGCTGGCCTTGAGCAGTGAACAATTTAGAGGAAAAGATGGGGAAAGTGGAAGCACTGTAGAGGTTAAAGCCCCAATATGCAATGGGGACAGCAATGTAGATGATCAAAGCGTAGCCCACAAAGACATTGACAATGGAGAAGAAAGGGCTAATGAGAGGGCTGTACAAGAAGGAGGAGACAGCAGACCAGTCAAGGGTGAAGGCCCCAAGGCCAAGGCCTTTCATGCCTGACCCAAGCTGTTGAGCAGTCACTGAGCGGGGGAAGGCCCAACACACCCAAGAGATGCTTGTCAGGGTGGGGAACAGGTAGCCTGGGATTACATACCATGAGAAGCTACAAATAAGTGCTATTATGAAGAATTTTCCTCTTGACATCCGACAGTTTTCTTTTTCATGCAAAGCCCTGTAGTCCGGATAGAAACCATCAGCTTTTGAAACGATAATAATGATAAGCGTCTTATCCACTTTGTTAGAATCGAAAAGAAGTTACTCAAAATCAACTATTATATTGTTTATGGTAAGACAGAAACAAGGATCTTAATTGAATCATGCTAAAACAGACATATAAAATGTAATTTTTATTTATTTTCATTAAAAAGATAGCTTATTAAATAAAATTAGTAAATATCGGTGATGTACTGAGAAGCCATTCTATAGAGGATTTCCAATATCGGCGACGCTCTGAAAAGTGAGGCTTATTTTCAAATTTACCGAGGAACTGCGGGACCTTCT